TAACCACGCTTCCACAGACCCTAATCACCAATTTATTCACTTTAAAACTATTCAAAGGGCATATTTAACTACACATGTACAACATATCATAGGTTTATCTCCACAACATTATTGTAAGTTCTGTGAACCAGTTTCCAGATACCTTTTTACAAATAATGTGGGAATACCTAAAGGTGCAAAAACTTTAGGATTCTGTCCGGGACATTTCATTTAAAGTAAAAAAAAAAATGTGTTTCCCCAAAGATCCTGTATTGCCATTATTAAATGATAACTCTCAATTTACCTTAAATTCAAAGGTCCAGAAATTTGGTTAGCTGCTTCAACTGCTACAAAGAAAATGTTGGTGCAAAGGTGGAAACTCTCTCATGATCTCTCTGTTTAGCATTGGTTACATTCACTGTTGGAAATACTGCTCTGGAACTGTCATCAGCACGAATTAACCATGCTAAACAGGACATTCTGATGGTGTTGTAAATCTACAGTATTTTTGCGACATCAAAGAAATTTGGACATTTAACCCTCATCTGATACTATGAATGTCAAATTTAAATGCAATTTATGTAATAGCTTGGTCTAAACTACAGTTATTCTGTGCTTCCTGATTTGCAGTTAAAGTATTTTTCTATCTGAATGTGAAACTTTTTTTATTTTTATTTTTGGAAATAAAAACTGAATTACAAAAATAGATGTAAAATAAAATAAAATCAGTCATTTTTGTTCAATAGACAGCCAACTATTATCCTGCTGATTAGCATTATTTCTTTTGTGTTGTTTAATGTAATTCACATAATTTCTACAAGTATGTTGTATACTATTGTGGTATTATAAATCTACATAATCTAGTTACAAATTAACAATAATCTATTTATAACTAAAAAGTTATATTCTTTGGTTTTTAATTAGCCCATTTCATTCAAAACTCTAGCTAGGGTGTGACATTGAACCTTTTGCTTCCAGAGCACGGGCTGAGCCAAAGTGATACAAATGCTATGGTGCAAGGTCTTAACGGCTGTGCCTTTGTCTTTGGGTGATAGTCCTGTAGGCTTTTGCAGACTTGTGGACTTCTTGAAGACACTGCATGACTGCCTATTAACCAACATGTCTCAATAAAGAAATAAAATGTTCTGCTTGTTCGAGTCACCTGGATGAACTGGGTTCTCATCTCATCATTTTTTCCCCAACACTATAAACTTGCATACTTTTTTGCCACATCCATAACGCATGTTTATTTCCCTCATTAAAAACATACAAAATATTTACAGATTGACATTTTTCTTATCCTACAACTCATTATATAAACAAATGTTTCAATATAATGTTACCTTTCTTTGTGATTTTAAATGTTAAATTTAATGTCACATCCATCCATAATGCTAGATTGGAGTATATGCACACTGACTTTTAATTTTCAGCCAGACTCAGGGTTTTCGGTGAACTGTCTTTCCATTATAAAATTGCCATGTATAGGATTTGATTTCTTTAAAAATCAATGATCTTCACTGTGTGATAGATATAGCACTGCATAAAATTTCAGGTCCCCCATCATGTCTTCAAAATATGACATTTTATTTTACATGTGAGTTTCTGCACTCGCATGCTGATCCTGATGCCGCTAGTGGTTACACAGTCTTTCATCTTGTTTTAAGCTTCAACAACTAAATAAATGCTAAATAAGTCGACTTAACTGATTGTATTTTAACTACATTACAACATCAATGCTGTAAAAGGAACCTTATAAAATTGAAAATAGTCACAATAAGCTTTCACCAGAATCTTTGGCTGAAAAACACTAGCTGAGCATATATGCCATTGCTCATTTACTAACGTGAGAGGAGTGTCAGTGTTGGATTGTAACATGGGAAACTTTATGTTTACCACTGTTTATTTCCTCAAGTGCTAAAAGTCACAGATGGCAGACTGTTACAGCAAATTGTGTCAAATTGATCAATTAGGGCTTCATTGTCTGGCTGAGGTCTTCTAATGGATGAGGAAAAAACACTCTGGGTTGAGTGAAATGTCATATTTAATTAACAAACAGAACAACAACTACTAATCGCCATTCGCCTCTAGCAGAGAAAAGAGATGCAGTGCAAACAAAACAAAGCACTTTAATGAACTGGCAATTGCGCCAGCAAAGCTTAAAATAGTTTTATCTGCTACAATAAACTGCAATATGAAACAACAAGTGTAAATCACTTGTTTGAGTTTCAAAAAGAAATTGGTACATCTTCATTTTAGTGTTATTAATAGAATGTAATATAGTACATGTTAAAAATATTACAAAACTGTAATTATGGGAATAAAAATAGTACAATATCATAAAATATTTTACTATTAGACTTTTCATAGATCAAACAAAGTGCTATTCAACAATTCATTTCCAAGGGAAAACATAAAATGATTAAAATAAATAAATAAATATATGTGTGTGTGTGTGTGTGTGTGTGTGTGTGTGTGTGTGTGTGTGTGTGTGTGTGTGTGTGTGTGTGTGTGTGTGATTTGGGTCACAAGAACGAGAAGAGACAAGTTTTTTTTTACACAATTTTTCAGAGATCTACAATGATGAAATACATGAGTGGAAAATAGTATTTTATTCAATAAAAAATAATCAAAAAATGCTAAATTATTTAGGTGGTTTTTTAATCAAGTTGTATTGAATGTTATTTTACTTCTAACTTTTAATAAATTCTATGCAGTAAAGAACATGCTAAGTATTTTGCTTATAGCCTCTGTGAGTGAAAATTTGTCTTTTTATTTTGCTTCCACTGTCAAAAAGCGTCCCGAACTGAACCGTACCGTACCACTTTTTCGGCACCCTTTCGAAAGAGTCCCAAACAGGAGAAAGGGTACCAAAAGGTGGAGCTACACGCACAGCTGAACGCTGATTGGTTAGAGATACGTCACAAGCTTGTGAAGCTAGACAGAATGAAAACAAAGGAAACGATATGTTTTTTTAAATACAAAGCCGAGACATTACATGGAAATACTATATGCATATAAAAACGAGCCATGGATGACCCGGGCTCAAACAAACCTTGTCGTCGTCTTAATGAACAAACACAAAGCCAAGAAGAAAAATCTGCCGTGTCCGGTTTTTGTTTTACGAGGCCGTCTAAAAGTGCAAGCGGTTTTCGCTTTCTTCCGGGAGCTCGCAATTGCGTCTAACATTATATTTAATACAACGAATTTCTTGAGCTTATAATAATAACACGTGAGTGATTATTAAAGTGTCTCCGTCATCAGATCCATTCAGAAAAGAAAAGGACAAGTGCGAGAGTGAACGCGGGAAAAAAGGAGAAGCCTGGCAAAACACAGAAGCAAAACTGTATTAGCAACCTAAATCATGAACAAACTGCCATGTTTATCTTTGACTTTTGGACTATTATGAACTGGGAATGACAGAATTACTCTCTAACAGAGTTTGCATGTGCTGGTAAAGATTACAGACACAGATGAGAGGTTTGCTCTGACTGTGGGCTATATTGCGTGTTTTTTAACTCAAATAAGTACTAAATGTATGATATGTGTAGTTTTTCTGTAATTAATAATATATCAGAGACTGTAAGGGGCAGTATGTGTTCATATATGTTGCATTTATGTATTTATTTTATATCATTAAAGACGTTACAGTAGCCTATTTTTCACTGTCATTGATCTGCAGTTATAATCAAATCTCGTTCATAGAAAAGTTAGTAATAAACATTTATACACAAGTATTTATGTGTTTAAATCATCTGTTTTGTGAGAAGTGCTTCTCATATGATATGCAAACGACCTGTACAGCTTTACTGTAGACATTTATTCAAGCGAGCATAACGTCGACTTAAATTTTATGTCATACACCACGCACACTAAAAGGGTACCCTTTGTGGTGGAAACGCAAGCCTGATAAAGGTGACCCATACCGTCACGAACCGTACCGTACCGTACTGTACCAGTCAGAAAAGACCTTCATGATAATAATAGTTTGATTACGGTCTTTACATGTTTGTACTCCACGGCGAGAACGCAATGGGAATACTCCACATGTCTTAATTCCATTGCCAGTCTAGGTTGCCAGTTTAAACCCAACCCTGCTTCCAATGTTCAGTGCTAATTTCACTCTCACGCTCCATCATAACATCACAACTCAAGAGACAACTTTTCACCTCACGAGATCTCGTCATATGATATCTTGGCACACCCCTAATTTATACATATATGTGTGTGTGCGTGTGTGTGTGTTAAACTTGCATGCTGTTATTGGGTAGAAGAGTGGCAAAACTGTGAAATATCATAATTTAAATTCTGCTGTGATCATTTCAATTTCAACTATACACTTTCAAAGAACTAAAGGGACTTTCATTACAAAATAATTAGTTGCAATTTAGTATATACCATTTTTCCAATCGCACATTTGCAGTAACAGGGGAATTTCCTGTAAAATCGCACCCAGTATTGTGTATCATCTCATCCCATGAGCTAAATGTCTCATCAAACCCCAACAGTAAACTGATTTGAAGTAACATCAAGGTTCCGTAGGACCCAATGGAGAAGCAGCAAAATCACAATACTCCTATTTAGAAAATAAGCAATCTCACAGTACTCACACGTAGCTACGACAATGAAAACAGACAGCACCAATATAAGCAACTTGAAAAGAAAAAGCAAGCAATTATTGGAAAATCCAGATTGCAGAAAACTATTGACGAGCTGGTCAGAAAGCGGGGGATTGTGCTGAGATAAACAAGACTTATAATTTCCACATTCCATGAAGTGATTGGTCAAAACCAGCTAAAAAAAAAAGCAGTGAGGGGCAACAATGTAGTATAACTTGGTATGTGATAAAAGAAAGCGTTTCTTTTTCTTTTTTTCCAATAACTAGTTAGCTTTCAAATGAATAGCACACATCTAAGCTAAAAGACAATCCCATTGAAAAGAGTTTGTTTATAGGAAACAAGAAATGTATCTGCTTTTTGCTTAAGAGAAGTTAATTTTAAAATGAGGTGGAATAATCTCACCATGCTGGCATCAATGATCTGGCCCTGTCCTGACCTGCTCCTCTCCAGGAGCGCCAATACAATCCCAAAAGCACACATGAGACCTCCTCCAGCAAAATCGGCCACCAAATTCAGTGGAGCGTATGGTTTCTCTGAACTGCGGCCCAGCATGGAAAGCAACCCTATTACAGAAAGAAAGACAGACACATGCTGAGAACAAATGCACAGCAAAATAATTACTGTAACAGTGGTTTGCACGGGTCAACTAAAAACATCCCTAATTAAGACACGTGTGCGTTTGCTTCCAGCTGCTCTGTTTCCAAATGTATTTGACATTTAAAAAAACAAAGCAAAAGCGAATGATTAAAAATAAAAAAACAGGTATTATTCCAAAGAGATTTAAGACCCTTAATTTATCATTTTTCTGAGGCGGGTTTCCAAGTAAAGCACTGCTGATAATAATTAGCTTACTAATTTCTGTTGAACTGTAAGCATAGATAAGGTCACAGCAAACAGACAGCCAGGAGCTCAGAAAATGTAATCAAACGAGTGTCTTTGTGCTTCTTATCACACATCAGTTTAAGCCAGGTTTGACCTTCACAACCTACGACATAAAAAGCACCTGAATCAAAAGAACTTGGTTTGTATCATGAGAATGTATAATAGTTGGTCCTAATGGGAAGAATAATGTATAATGTCTAATACATTTAACATGTTTGACAATGCTCACTTATGCACCTGTGGTTTAAGAGACCTTCTAAATAAGTGATGCTGTTGTTTTGCAAGACAATAGAAAAGCGTTACAGCACAATATGGCCTTAATTTAACATTTTGTGCATTTGGCAGATGTTTTTATTGGAAGCAACTTAAAGTACATTCAAAGCCACAACCTTGGTGTTGCTAGAACAATACTCCATGCATTTTAATGACTGTGCATGTCATTAAAAGTAGTTTATTTTAAAGTAATACAGGTAAAAGATTTACAAAACATGCTAGTTAGGTTTTAAATGGCAAAACAGCACCTCACTGGGTGCCTAGAACTATTGAATTACACATTATTTGTTAATTTATGTTGTCTTATTCTTTAACGTAAATAACAACTAATACCGTAGTCAAAATTTGAAGGGGAACAAAAGTTGTCATAAAATGTAATCAAAGTTTTCCTAAAAGCAAATAATTTCTTGAACAATACCAATGTTTTATATTACCAATACCAATTATTTTATATTATATACAGTTAAAGTCAAAAAGCCTTAAAATGGTTTTTAAAAAATTATAACTGCTTTTATTCTAGCTGAAATAAAACAAATAAGATTTTCTTCAGAAGAAACAAATATTATCAGGCATACTGTGAAAATTTCCTTGCTCTGTTAAACATCATTTGGGAAATATAAAAAATTAACAAAAAATTCAAAGGGGGCTAATAACTCTGACTTCAACTGTACATACAATATTTTTAGTACTATTGGTCTATTTTTGTTGTTTGCTGTTTTACAAAACCACCTCTAGGGGCAATTGTTATTTATGCATGTTTTATGTGTGATCTTTAAAAATAAAGGAAGGATAAAACAAACTAATGTAACACTTACATATTGTGAAGACAGCACCATTTAAATGATGCTACCCTTCATTTAACCTACAATTCATTGAACACTAAAAGAGGTTAATAAATTGACATCAAACTTAACTTTCAATTCATAGAAAGCATATTGGACAACATATTTATTCTACCTATGATTATACAGCTAAAGCTGTACATTTTAAGGAGAATATCAAAAGTTATAATCCATAACAGTCAAACAGTGTTTGACTGAACTCCATGTATGCAGGCTGTTGAAAGTTCCATACAAATAATGTCCAGCACAGACGTCTGCTCATTAAATGAGGAGGGATCAGTTTTTTTGTTGCACTGAATTATTATTATTATTAATATTATTATTATTGGTAATAGTAATAAAAGCAATACATTTGAAACTAAATACAATAAGAAAGCAGTTATTTAAAATTTTTATATATATTTAATAAATATTTAACAATTTAACTAAATAACTTAATAAATTATTACAATTTAACTTTTACTAAATGCTGCCTTGATGAACAGAATAATTTAGCTTAAAAAAAACAGACCTAAAACTTTTGATCAGTAAAGTACAATTTTTACACAGTTAAACAAAAGTTTCATTAAACAGTATAATTTATTAAAATAAGAGTTGTCACTTTAATGTCTTAATAAATAGAAAGATAATATATTTAAATTCAAACAAGTTGCAAAAAATATACAAACCCCAAACTAAATTTCTGGTTTTGACCTTAGTACAGACTAATCTAATGTATATGCACAAATATTTCATTGTAAAGTGTCCTATTCAAAACACTAATTAAAAGGGGGGGATAAATGAGGAGTTTTCCAATAATGGTTGTGGATGAAAGGGCATCTGCTACGTAAAACTTATGTCAGAATAGTTGGCGGTTAATTCCGCTGTGCCGACACCTGATAAATAAGGGACCAAGTGAAGGAAAATGAATGAATGTATGATGGGTGAACTCATTTATGCAGAGAACTGTTCATAAAAAGATACGATTTTAAAAGAATAAAACTTCATGCTGACAAACGACTAAAGCCCAGTGGTTAGAAGGATATTGGCAAAGTATAAAGATTTAAACTGACTATTAATTATTTTGTATGTTGCACTGTGATAACCAAATAGATTAATTAATATTTTATAGAATAAATTATCCTTAAAATATGCCTGACAAGATTGTGTGGCATAAAATATTCTCACACTAAATTACATTTTAATAGGTGCCTTCTGTAAATCAGGGTAAAAAATAAATAGTAGCTTTTTTTTTGCTCAGAACAAATTTAAACAGGGTGCAATGGATAAATTATGCAAATTTAAGATGTATTAGCAATTTAGTTCCTTTTTTGCCGTTGACACATGCTTAGTATTCCTAAAATATATATCTATATTTTTTCAAACCTTTGGAAGACATGAAAGTTAAACTCTTCTTAAGAAAAGTTTTCCACCAAAGTCTTTCCAAACTTCACATATTGCTCGATCTCTCTAATTTACTCTGCTTTACAAGCACTGTGCCTAAGGGCATTGTGGGAAAGCATATTAGCTGAGCTTCTCTGCACCTGTTTAACAGTGGTCTTACCTGACATGGCCAGGTAGTTGATATCATGCCCGGCAGCCTTGGCATAGGATCCGCTCTGACCATAACCAGTGAGACGTGCGTAGATCAGGCGGGGGTTCTCTTTTATTAAGTCTTCAGGACCTAATCCCATCTTCTCCATAACGCCTTAATTATACCAGAGAGATACAATAATGAAGCATGAACAGAGGAAACCTTGAAGGTAAATACATTTGAATTTAGAGGACAAATTATTCTTGTTTGGATTTAAAATCAGGAGGGAAATGGCAATCTCTCTTTTAAGTCAAGAATTGTTTTCCCCTTTTCATTAAATCAACAATGCTTTAATTAAAACTGATTAAATTATGTAGACAAAGGCACCATATGGACAGAGGTTAATTGTTAAAACAATAATTGATTTGCAAACAAGAAGAACTAATTGTGATAATGGAGCATGTTTTATTAAAAAGACCATTGTTATTGTATTTGTTGTTCTGCTTTTAACCTTTATTAAGCTGATTTGTAACAACTGTTAATCATTAGTCACATAATAACTAAAATAAAAAGTGTAAAATTAAGAAACTGTAAAAGCAGAGGCATACTTATTATTAAAACCAGATGTTTGTTATGTTTATATTACTATATATTGATATATTGACATACATACTCTGATACCATACCAACACATGCATAGAACTATACAATTACATATTTTTATTAATTTGGCCTGCAGTGCTCAAAAGAAGAAAACAGGACATAAGCAATTGTTTACTCAACAGGGCGGGGGACAGGGGGGGATGCAAAAGACTGCAAACTTTATATAAAATAGGCAACATTTTGAAGCCTTGCCCAAAAATATGTTGACAGAGAATAGATCACTTTTGCTGAAATGGAGCCAAATATTTTTGTTTAATTAACTTAAATGGGGGCATTTTTGTACTGAAGGTTTTGAGAAGTATTTCGATACCTAGTGTACAGTAATACAGATTGAAATGTTGGTCACAAGTTACAATTTCAATAAACGCACACATTTGCCCAAATCTACGCTGTATGCATTAGTACAACCAAAATGACCTCAAAAAGTAAGTACTGTAAAAATAATGCAAGCATATGAATGAGAAAACACTGATGAACTATCATTTACGTAAGATACAGAGGTGTAAAGTAACAAATTGCAAATACTCAAATTACAGTAATAGAGTAGTTTTTCTCAAAAATTGTAATTTACTAAGTAGTTTTAAAAATGTGTACTTTTACTTTCCCTTGAGTACATTTTTGTGCTGCATCTGTACCTTTACTCCGCTACCTTTCTTTAAACTGCCGTCACTACTTTATATTTCTTGTCTAAGGGGATTAGAAAAATCAGTCCTGTGATTCCTGTCCAATCAAATCACACAGAGAAGGTAAATCGTATCATAATGTACAATCTTAAAGAGCCCATATTATGGGTTTTTGAAAATTCCCCTCCATGTAGTGTGTAACACAGCTCTAAGTGAAGTGAAGTATCCAGCTAAGGCTTAAATCTGTAAGAATACAGTGTTTAAAACGGTTGATTCATCTATAAAAGAGTCGACTCATAGTGCTTCAAACGAGTCGCCTTGATACCGATTCATTAGGTGTTTCGCCATGACGTACGAACGAAACCAAGTTATTCACGTGCACGCGCAAACCCGGGAGATTTCAAACCTGAGGCCCCGCCCTCTGACGCAGAAACCCAGACACACACACACACCCACAAACACACAAACATGCCGGTCGATTGAAGTCACACTGCAGATGGACATTATCGATTCTCTACCCAGAGATGAAACCTCAGCATTATAACCAAGCAGTTGGAAACTTCTGGAAACTACAGGCTACAAAGAATACTTCATCAGCGTTTGTTAAAGTAAGGATCAGTAAAGAGTTACTTACTAATGGACGTCAGGATGAGTTTTTTCCTCCATTTCTCAAATGTAAGTACGTGCGATTAAAGTTGCCTCGTTGACTCTAGCTTGCAAATGTATTTAGTGTTGATTTGTTACTTGTAACCGCGTGTACTGTATCAGGTTAACTGGCTATATTCTCTTATCGCGTGCAAAGTCACGTTAAAAACGCGACGCGTGCTATTTGTTTACGGAGCTCCGTGGTAGAGGTCTGCATTCCCGCGACTGTCCCCGCGCCAGATTTCTGCGGCGCGGGAATAAATTTCCGAATCAATAGCGGGAGCGGTCGGTAACAGGTTTAATTTGGGACGGGAGCGGGCTTTCTAGCAATATCGTGGATATTGCTATGCGAATGAGACAGAGCTTTGCCTGCCTGTGTGTCTGCTTGGCGCTTGTTTGTATGTGTTAGTGCGCGCGTATGAGAGAGAGAGAGAGAGAGAGAGAGAGAGAGAGAGAGAGCGAGCTCTGTCTGGCTGTCTCTGGACTGTTTTGCTGGGTGATTTTCGGTTATGTTCTCCCCCGCTCTTTAGCAGGATCAGGCGCGGCGGGCAGAAAACGGGGCGGTTCGGGCACCGGGACAAGAAATTCTAAATATAAGCGGGAGCGGTCGGGTTCAGGCTAAAACCTGGCGGGTGCGGGCGGAAGCGGGAGCGTTGTCGTCCAGAGGTGTGTGTGTGTGTGTTTGTGTGTGTGTGTGGCAGCTAAAATCCACGCCTACACTATGGAGCGCGTATGAACTGTGATTACTTTTATATTGCTGATTAGCTATTGGGCATTTCATTCTCTGACTGAAGGCAGTCGACCAATCGTGACAGACTGTCATCGGTCCAATCAGCGCAGATTAGCTTCGCGCTAAGGAGGGGTTTGGGAACAAATGAATAACTGGACGATTCATACGGGAGTCGCTGGGATAATTAGGTAAAATAAATGCAGATTATAAGACCATGAAAGTGTTTTTTGACTTTGCATGCATATTAGACTGTTGTTTGAGACCCTTACAACCAAGATATGACCCTATTTCATGTATAATATGGGCTCTTTAAGACATGCAGCAAACATGCAGTGTCAAAGAAGATACTTTACATGCAGTGACCCAGAGACTGTTTAGAATGAATGTCACTGATGAGAAAAAGATGGATATTTACTGTATGAGGACCGAAATGGCCTTAAACAATAACTAAATGCACTACAAAATGTTACGTTGACACACATCCACAAATAGTATATAAATACATCAGCTTTTCAGTGTAATACTCACTACTCTCACTACTCTTGAGAACTTTTTCAAAGGGCTAATTTTTACTCATACTTTGAGTAATATTTTCAACAGATAACTTTACTTGCACTACATTCTGGGCACCTAATGGTACTTGAGTACCATTTTTTCAGTAAGTTACTCTTTCCACCACTGTTAAGATAAGACACTAACCTTTCCGATAAGGCTCCAAAACCACATCTGACTGGAGACACAGTCTTTTTAAAACAGCGACACCCTTAGGACTCTTCAGATTCAAGGCCACTGACTGTTTGCCTCTTGCTTGAGTGTCAACAGTCATCGCCACCTTCGTCCGATCTACCCGGATCACCCTTGCGCCGAAATCCGACAGGATCATCCCGCAGAAAGGCGCAGGTGCCAGTCCTGCCAGCTCAATAACACGCACCCCCGCCAGAGCCATAATGGAACCTGTTTTAGACGAAAACTTTCACGAGACACACACGAGAAAGTAACATTTCAGATCATTAACACCGTAACAAAGAAACTCCTCAAGACATGCTTGAAAAATCATCAACTCATTCAAGTGACAGTTGTTATTTGGGTCATAGTTCACTCCAATTGTCCATTTTACAAACTATCATTAAACCGCGAAAATGTCAGTGGTGCTAAATAACAACAGCTCACTTTCTATAGTTTGTCTAAACATATTTGCGGAATTAATTTAATATAAAACACTAGCAGTAACGAACTGGATACAAAACATACCTTTTAAAATCTTGCACTTCAAACCACAAGGAGCTCGACGCATAGTTATGACGTGTAAACACGGGATTGTGGGTGTTGTAGTTTTAATGATCTATCTTTTCGAAGTGAAATTGCTTCTATTCCTCATGTCATATTTCATTGGAATAATTAATTTCATGATATTCTTTGAAAGATTGTGTGGTCTCTACCCAACATTTTTTTAATCACAAACAAGGTTAACCTAGAGGTTTAGCAATTAAATTGCTACATGAAGTTTACCTGGTGAATGTTAATATTTAAAAATGCATTCTAAGAAGGGTTTCTTTTGTGGAATAAATATGAATCTGTCGATCATCTTTTTGGTGGGAATGTGCCCATATTACATTTTTTTATACACAAATGCTTTTTTTGTCTGCAAAGCCCCTGTTTTTATTTTTTGTTAATATTTGAAATATATTTTGGATACAGTCGCAACCGCCAGCATTGTTAAAGCTTTAAAATCAATAACACTATGTGAATCTTACAGTATTGTCTCTTTTCTATAATACTCAGCTGACTGTATTCTTTATGACCTTTTATACATCACTGTTATGAATACTCAAATTACTATAAATGAGCAATTTTTTCCCAAAATGGTAATTCACTGAGTAGTTTTACAAATGTTCTGTATCGGTACAGTACATTCCACTACTTTCCTTCAACCTGTAGTCACTGTTTTATTTTTTTTATCTGTGCGGATTAGACAAATAAGTCCTGTGATTCCTGTCCAATCAAATCATAGAAGGTAAATTGCATCATACTGAATAACCTCAAGACATGGGCGATTTATATATGCAGCAAACTGTTTGGAATCATTAAAAGTGTCTAAGATGTTCATTACACAAAATGACTTAGAAGCTGGTTAACGTCAGGCCAACATCAATGTCCAACATCCAACCTAAAATCAACCAAATATCAACGTCTAATGATGATACAGCTTGACATTGTGTGGACGTTACCACTATACCGTCTATCAGATGTTTAATTTTGGTTCCCATATCTGATAAATAAAATATCAATATTTGCCAACAGTATGATGTTGGTTTAAGATGTTGGCTTGACATTAGATTTTGGTCACTTTCTAACACAACCTAAAAAAAAAATATCAGCATTATTTGATGTCAGTATTTGAAATCAAAATAACATTGTCCTCATACGCTGGCTAGACATTGAAATTTTGGTCACCTGACATCACAACCTAACCTTAACATCTTATGACATTGTGTGCCGGCTGGGCAATAACTAAATGCACTGCAGAATTACTAATGAATTACAAATTACATGTGAATAGATCAGCTTTTCACAGTATAATACTCACTATTCACTATGGGTACTTTTGAGAGGGCTACTTTTTACTCATACTTTGAGTAATATTTACAACAGGTACTTTTACTCTACTTGCAATTACATTTTAGGCAAATAAGGTACTTTAGTATGATTTTTCAATACTCTTTCCACCACTGGTTGTTACTAATCTAAATATAAAGTGCTAGAAGTTATTACCCATTGGAGTTTTTTAAATGCGGGTGTTGTAGTTTTATTTAAAAATAGGATTTGTTAAAAAAGAAATAAAAATGTAGTTATTTTTATGTGATGTGATTTCTATTCCACTATTATGAAATCACTTTTTCCATTTTCATTTCTGCATCAATATAAAAGCATTTCACATAACTTTACAAACAAAAGAACACACCGCAAATGTTGGGTTCCACACCATTCCTTCATGTTGTCCCAACAACACAAATAGATTAAGTTAACTTAAATGTTTTTACAATATGAAGTGAACATAAAATAATTAAACTGCCACCCCCCATTGTGTTGTTTTAACTCATTTTAAATAAGTAGTTTGAAAAAGCACAAATATTTTTGAGTGCAGGAAAACGAGATTCAATATGGTTGCCTTTTCCTTTCATTGTGTCAACTAAAGGATAAATGCGGTTTCTTGTAATAATAATGAATTATGAACCAAATATTTCATGCCACAATAATATTCTGTCATGAGTCAATGAAGTCTCTATACAAGATTTAATGGGTGATCTGCCTTTTTATTTTATCATTTATTTGACTTTGCAAGTATTTGGCTCTGAAACTGAAGGATTGATCCCTGAAAACCATGTTACGCATGAGCTTAGATTGAACTCTCAAATATTCTAGTACATTCAAAGATGAATGATTCAAATTGTGCTAAATAAGTGACAAACAGAATCAGATAGAAGATGATTCTTGGAAATTGTCACATTCAAAAATCCTTTAATACATGATACAGGTTTGAATTGACAGAAAACTGTTTAAGCTGACTTTTCAAATTCATTTCTCAACTCTGTGCTACATTCATCATTCAAGAAATCAAAACATCAATTCAGTATGTAGAAAATGTGATACTGAGTGTAATGGCCATGTCTCAGCGATTATTTTAAATATAGTTTGAGAATATTATGTGGGTAAATATCGAACTTGCCTCAAGGAAAAACACTTTCAGCAGCACATTTTTTTTTTACATTTATTTTGATAACCTTGAGACATAATCAAATCCCACTGAGATAGATATTTTGAATAACATTCATTTTATGTTCCCTTGTTACATCAATTAGAGAGTGTTTACAGCAGAGCCAGTTAGGAGTATCAAGCTGTGTCTCAAAAATCTTACTTGCTCACTAATCCTGCTATAGGGCACTGTGTCAGAAAAAAGTAAATGAAAAAAAAATCATTTCAAATGCTGATGTAAAATGCAAGAAACAAACAGTAAAGTGACCATCGTTGACACAAACATTATACCATATCAGTAATATGTTATATATGAAGTTTAACAATAGAGATTGCCCAGAAATCTATTCATGTTAATAATGCTTAAACAATAATGTTCAGCCCAGCTCATTGGAAATACATGAGAAGCATTAAATGCCATACTCCAGGTACATTTCGTTGCACATTTCAGATAACAAATCCACTAAAGGGCACTGTTTATATTTTGGTGAATCTGAAATACATTACTTAATGTTCTGTATGATCATACAGATCACCTAGCGAACCACTTACCTAAACTGACCAATAGTGTTTTCAAAAGCAAACTTAAAAGAAAATTCACTGCAACCAGGGGTGGATTTAATCAATAAGCAAGGTAAGCGGCTGCTCCCAAAAATATCTAGACGTATAAATCATATTTAAAAACTATATATAACATCGTTTTGTACAATATTTTGTATGGTGAGAGTTACAAATACAATTTTAATGTAATTAAATATTATTTAATATACATTCATTTATTTTCTTTTTGGCTTAGTCCCTTTATTAATCTGGGGTCGCCACAGTGGAATGAACAACAACTTATCCAGCATATGTTTTATGCAGCGGATGCCCTTCCAGCTGCAACCCGTCTCTGGGAAATACACTCTCATTCACACTCATACTCTACGGACAATTTAGCCTAACGAATTTACTTGTACCACATGTCTTTGGACTTGTTTGGAGCGGGGGGTTCTCCACACCACCACCAGTGTGCAGCATCCACTTGGATGATGCGATGGCTTCCACAGGACAACGGCCCCAGTGCGCTCACAACACACCAGCTATTGGTGGAGTGGAGAGAAAGTGATAGAGCCAATTTGGTGGAAAGGGATGATTGGGAGGCCAGGATCGTAAGGGCCGATAAAGGGACTTTGGCCAGAACACCGGGGTTACACCCCTGCTCTTTCACGAGAAGTGCCATGGGATTTTTAATGACCATAGAGAGTCAGAACCTCGGTTTGACGTCTCATCCGAAAGACGGCACCCACTGACAGTGTTGTGACCCCTTCACTTTTACTGGGGCATTAGGACTCACACAGACCACAGGTTGAGCGCCCCTTGCTGGCCTCAATAACACCCCTTCCAACAACAACCTAGTGTTCCCTAGTGGTCTCCCATCCAGGTACTGAACAGGCTCAGCCCTGCTTAGCTTCAGTGAGTAACCGGTCTTGGGCTGCAGGGTGATATGGCTGTGTTACATTAATATAATAATATAATATTATTATTATAACGTAATAATAATAATAATATTACAAAATAAAATATACGTCATAGAGCAGTTCAGCAGTAAAAATGTTAATTGTATATATTTATTATTTTTAGTTGTAAATTCATTTTAGGAAAACTTTTTATTTAAAATGTAGATATTGCATTAATTTTAAATGTCGAAAGTTAAGATTTAGTGATAAACAAACAACAGTAACATAAATAAAAATGAAATTATTGTCTAATATAATGTGCATATCAGGACTTAAGCCCTATAGCTGGAATTGCTTAGATCCTTAAAATCACTAAATCCGCGCCTGACTGCATAGTTTTACCTACACTGCTATTCTCTCTTTTGTGGAATTGTGCTTCACCAGGCCTGAAACAGAGTACTCTGCATCAAAAGTAAAACACTATACAAATTGAGCTACCAAGCAAATTGACAACACCAGAAAATGTGTCCATATAGACAAGTGAGGCAAGTGTATTCATAATCAAAATTCTATATTCATCAATAATATGTCCCTGCAAATGTCATTAGTGTGAAAAGGCAGAAAGGTTGCTAGTCATAACCTCCCCAGTGCTCATTTTGTCTAGAAACTGCAGTCACATGTATGTTTAAGTACGTTTTGTGGTTACACAAAAACATAGATGAAAGTATTTCCAATGAGCCCGGCCATGTTGCAAATTTCAGGTGCAAAAGTCACTGTGTCCTTGTCTTTTTATTGCCAATGTTTCATTGTACAAATATAAATGCTGATTGTAGATTTTTACGCCAAAAAGCAAAATAAGCGTGACTTGTTAGTAAATCTGGTCCATACTCTTAAAAATGGAGGATTTAAAATAATGAAACCATAATAAGAAATATTTTGCCTTTCACAAAGAAACTTTCAGAAATAATAATATTAATAATAATAATAATAAATAATTAAGAAGCCTCAAAAATTAATGTTCAGCCCGAGTCATTAAATATGTTTCATTGCATTTTTCAGTTGGCAAATCCACTAAAGGGCACTGTGTACATTTTTGCGAATCTAAAATGCATTACTTAAGGTATGA